TCCTCATCCTCCCCTCCTTCCCCTCCTCCTCTTCCTCTTTTCTTCTCCTCCTCCTCCTCCTCCTTCTTCTTCCTTCTCCTCTCCTTCTCTCTCCTTCTCTGGTCTTCCTCTTCTTCTTCTTTTCTTCTTTTAACAGGGTCGTGCTCTGTCACCCAGGCTGGAGTACAGTGGCATAATCACAGCTCATTGCAGCCTTGAAGTCCTGGGCTCAGGGAATCCTCCTGCCTTAACCTTCTGTGTAGCTGGGATTACAGGTGTGAGCCCCCACATACAGCTAGTTTTTTAATTTTTAATTTTTGTAGAGATGGGGGTCTCGCTCTGTTGCCCAGGTTGATCTCCAACTCCTGGCCTCAAGTGATCCTCCCACCTCAGCCTCCTAAAGCCCTGGGATTGCAGGTGTGTGCCACTGTGCTGGACCGAAGGCTGTTTCTTCTAAACAGAAGACCCCTTGGTCTACTTCAAGCATCAATGGATTTTGTTCATCGCTTGCCCTGAGCAGCTTTCAGCCCTTTGGCGGTCACTCCCCAGTTGCATTTCCACTATTAGGTACAAGCCTGAACAGCTCGCCCAGCCTCCAGGCAAAGCCACATCTCTCCTTCGGCCCTGCTCGTCAGAAAACCAGCCAGGGTCCCAATCCCCGTCCTGCATTTAAGCTGCAAGGGCTACCTCAAGCCACTCTGACACCCGCAGCTTCAGCCGCCAGCCTAGACTAAGGGCTGGTCTAGACCAGTGGCTTTCAGCTTCTTTTCAGCTGTAGAATCCAGTCTTCAAACCAAATCTTCTGCGAGGGAGGTAAGATCTACCATCTCACCTGTGTGTCCAGCCTTCCTCCGGCCCCACCCAGCCCCACCTCAGCCCATTTCAAAGGGAAAGAGCTTTGTCTCTGCCTTTCCCCGGCTCCACCTTCCTGCCTCCATGCCCTGCCTCCTGGGAGAGGTTCTCCCAGCCTGGTTTCTGGCCTCCTGGAGAGTAGAAAAGAGGAGGAGCGAGACACTGGACCAAAGGAAACGAAGTGGATCTTATTTGCGGAGTCAGTGCCAGGGCTTTTGTTTGTTGTGGAGAATCCAGGTCACTGGTGAAGCAAAAAGGGAAACTAAAAAAGAAGCTGGAACGGCCGGGCGCGGTGGCTCACGCCTGTAATCCCAGCACTCTGGGAGGCCGAGGTGGGAAGATCACTTGAGGTCAGGAGTTTGAGACCAGCCTGGCCAACATGGTGAAATCCCATCTCTCCTAAAAATATAAAAATTAGCCGGGCATGGCAGCAGGTGCCTGTAATCCCACCTACTCAGGAGGCTGAGGCAGGAAAATTGCTTGAACTTGGGAGGCAGAGGTCGCAGTGAGCCGAGAGTGTTGCCACTGCATTCCAGCCTGGGCGACAGAGCGAGACTCTGGAAGAAGAAGAGGAAGAGGAAGAGGAAGAAAGAAGGTGAAGAAGAAGAAGAAGGAGAAGGAGAAGAAGAGGAGGAGGAGGAAGAAGAAGAAGAAGAAGGCGGAGGAGGACGAGGAGAGGGAGAGGGGGAGAAGGAGGGGGGAGGGGAAGGAGGAAGAAGGGAGGAGGGAGGAGGAGTTGGAAAGACAGAGTGAGAGAGAGAGAGAAGGAGAGAGGGAGAAAGAGAAATTGATTGATTGCTGCTTAGACAAGGTCAGAAAGCGTGGCGTCAGGCGTTTCCAGAGAGAGGTCTGTTTTTAAGGAATGGGCTTGCATGATTATGGGGATAGAAAATGCTGCAGGCTAGAGGCAGAATTTCTTCTTCTCAGGAAAACCTCAATTTTTGCTCTTAAGGTCTTGCACTGATGGGACAAGTCTCATCCACATTTTCGAGGGTCACCCTTTTTTACTTAAAGTCAGCTTATTGTAGATGTCAGCTACTTCTACAAAACATACCTTCACGGTAACACCCAGGTTCATGTCTGAGCTGGGTGCTGCAGCCTGGCCAAGTGGACACACAGCCTGATCCTTGCCATTGGTGTTAGAGGTGACAGCACCTAAGAGAGCCGGGGAGGAGACGAGGGATGGTGGGACATGAGTCCCCTTTAATCCCTTTGGCCTCCCAGATCTAGCCTCTTTGAGTGTTTGGGGACTGGACCCCAGGAGACCCTGGTTTATAGTCAGGTGATTTTAATGAGGCAGCCACTCTATTTGAGAAGCCGGACCTGCTGTGTTTTGAAGAGGGCTGGGGTGGGTGGTCCGGCTCTGCCCCCGGCCTGGGCGCCTCAACTCTGTGCGACTCACCACACCCCTCAGCAGGTAGCTCATTGCTTAAGGATGGTCTTCCGTGTAGATGAGATGATGCCTGGAGACAGTGGGGAGCCAAAAGGAAAGGCCTTGTTATCCTGGACATTCTCTGTCCCTTTATACACCCAAGTTGGCGATAACGAGGCTCTGTGCTCTTTAGACTAAAAAAAAAAAAAAGTTTCTGGAATGCATTTCCTTCCACCCCCGTCTTGGCAATCTCTCTCTACTAATAATAGACTTAATTATTTAAATTTAATTTGTTAGAAGTTTGATGTTTGAGAAACCTAATGAATGATTAACATTTAATAAATTGTAAAATTTAATATCTATTAACTGGGGTTTAAATATATAATGATTTAATTTCTTTATTCAATGCCTACTTTTAAAAAACAGATAGGAATTACTCCTCAGAGTCATCATGCCCTACATAAGCCCTTAGCAAAACCGCCACCCTATTCTCTGTGGGTGAAAAACAGAGTGGATCCTGAGTCCTCGAATGTACAGGAAGAGGAGAACTGGTCAAGAGGAGGCTGGGTGGTCACGTTGTCCAGTGCCCATGATCCAGAAGCAGCTGTGGGCAGGGAGGAGGCTGAGTGACAGTTTAGCTCAAAGTATCCCCAGTGGACACATTCCCCAGTGGGACTGCTACAAACGGGGTGGCCTTCCCCCCAGGGAAGGGGAGAGAGGAGGCTGTCTGAAGAATGAGGCTTCTTACAGGGACATCAAACTGCACATAAATAGACGCACTGTGCTTTTTATTTGAATATTAATTGGCGTTGATGAACAGCATGTGTCTGTTACACTGGCAATTAGTTACCAGTGAGGTCCTGGGATGGCACAGTGCTCCTGTAATTCTGATATGGAGGTTCCTGGAACACGCATGGAGCTCTCCCCAAAGCGGCTGTCCTTGCAGAGAGGGCGCCTGCCTGTATCTCTGCAGAGGTCATCCATTTGCCTTTTCATGGATGTGCTAAGTAACAACCCACAGGACTGATTCTAACTGTATCACCCATTTAGGGGGGAGCCATCTGTGGGTCAAAGAGTCCTGTGAGTCCCCGGGTGCTTCAACCATTCCTGGGTTCAGGGGTTTAAGGAGAATAGGAGGAAAGTGTCCCCCCATTTCCTTGCCCTTTTGCGAAGCTGGGGACCATTCTTGGGCATCTGTCCTCAGAGGGAAGAATGAGGGAGGCAGCCTGGACATGGGAGGGCCTGTAATTCTAGACAGGGCAGGGTCCAACACACCGGCCATCTGGCCAGGGGACACCCCACAGTGCTGGGTTGGCTGCTTGGGATCTCCTGTTACCTCTGGCCAGCGTCCAGGCAGACCCAGCCGGGTGCGGGTGCACTGTGGGCTCATGTCACCGTACGCAGAGTAGCGTCCAGTTCTGGACTGGGAGCCCTTTGAGGAGGTCTGCCTAGCCCTGCCGGTCTGCGTGTGCCCCGCCTCCAGCACCATGCCCGGCACATAGTAGGTGCTCCATCTATGGAAGGAAGGATCGAGAGAGAGGGAGAGGAGAGGGGCTCAGAGCTCAAGATCTGCCAGCCACTGAAGGAAGTGGGAATTCGCTGTCATTGAACCTGTTAGGGAGGCATAAAAGGTGGGGTGGGGGCATTCTCTGGCAGAGCTTCCCTGAGTGGGGCAGCGCCCATAACCCTCTGTCCAGTATCTCCTTCCAGCCCCAGCCCCCACCCCAGACCCACCTTCTCCTTCCTCCCCCGTCCTGGGACCCCCCTCCCAGCCGGGCTGAGGCAGGGAGAAGGCACCCTGGCCTCCCGGGCTCTGCTGCAGGGGTGCTCTGAGAGCAGCAGATGAAAAGCGCCTCTGCTGGGGGCTAATCCTCCACCTCCACGCTCCCCGTGGCCGCCTCACCCCGCGGCTTAGGCTGAAGGATCTCGGGGAGTTTTAAATGGAGGAGAAGGAGCATTTCTGATCTCATTTTCCAGTATTTCAGCTGTGCCATAATCTATTTACCACACAATTTGTGTCACTTTGATAAGCGGCTGCTTCAAGACTGCATTTATTAAAATCAAGAGCGGGGACAGCTTTCAAGTCTCTCAAGAATTGTAATAAATGTTTGAAATTAGTCATTACGGTGTTTGCCATGGTTCATATCATATACTCCATCTCGGTGACAGACGATCACATCTCGCACACCTTCTTTTTGGGTGATGATGATGAAGCCTTCACTCTGAGGCTCGGGAGGGGACGCCGGGGGTGAGCGCCCTTCTGGGGACCAGCGGGGTCCCCCAGGGCCACAGCTCAGCCCGTGAAATGCTCTTTTAGCCTAAGCTTCCGTGCTTAAAAAGGAGTGAAATGGCCCAGAGAGACTTTTCTTCCTCTTCTCTCCTCCCCCATCAAAACCACCAGGCTCTTATTTCATTCTGGGTGACAAGGCCTCTGCTCCACCGCCACCCCTGCCCAGCGGTGGCATCTGAGGACACTGCAACTTTGCGGCTGGTTTACTGTTTCCTTTGGGGGGGGCGGGTTGTAGTTACAGGAAGTAACCCTGGCCAAAACAATGTCGCATTCCTAAAGACTCCAGTTCAGCAAGGCTTCGAGCCCCAGGAAGGGGAAAGGAGGGTCCCAGAGGCCATCAGAAGCTTCTTCAAGACTGTACGGGAACCAGGCACAGAGACGGGGCTCCCAGAGCCATGCTCCTCCTCCACAGTGACTTGTGGCTCACAATCCTAAAGTGACATTTGGGAGATGAAAATCAGAGCGTGAAAACCATCAGCATTGGAGACTAGGAACGAGGCCCAGGGTACCAGAGGCTGGGTTCCAAGTGGGCATGAGGTCAGGAGATCTATATTTCCTAATGATCGGGGGATTTTCCGTCTGGGGGATCCTCAGAGCTGGTAGCCCTCTCCCTGGGTGCCCCTGGAGCTCGGTAGACACTGTCTGCTGTGGGAGGCTCTGGGTGGGGTGGACACAGTGGGAGACACACACACACTGAAGGGCTGGGGGCGGGGGTGGTGGCGCTCCAGGTGACAGCTTCTGTTCTGTGGAGAAATACATCTGAATTTTGTTTGTGTTCAAAGGCTGGTGAAAGGAAGTCCTTTCTGTTTCACAAACACATTGAAAACAGGCCTTAAAAAGGGGTTTAGCAGGGCAGCCACCTGAAGCTCGAGCGTTTAACTAACCTTGTTGGGAAGGCGTGTGGGTGTGTGCATGGGAGTGACCGAGACAGACATATACACTTTTAACTGAAAAATCACAGATTTGAGCCAAGCATGCACAGTCCTGTTTCAAAGTTGACGTTCTTACCCAAAGATGTGAATGGTGAAAAAGTCGTTCTCCACTGTAGCTTTGTATATAAAAAAAGGAAGTTTGACGGGGCATGGTAGCTCATGCCTGTAATCCCAGCACTTTGGGAGACAGAGGCGGGCAGATCACCTCAGGTCAGGAGTTCTAGACCAGCCTAGCCAACATGGCGAAACCCCGTCTCAACTAAAAATACAAAAATTAGCCAGGCGTGGAGGCAGACACCTATAATCCCAGCTACTAGGGTGGCTAAGGCAGGAGAATTGCTTGAACCCAGGAGTTGGAGGTTGCAGTGAGCTGAGATCATGCCATTGCACTCCAGCCTGGGTGACAAAGCGAGACTCCATCTCAAAAAAAGAAAAAAAAGAGAAAGTTTTTGGCGGCAGGGAGCTGACTTTGATGGAAATTCTGGAAAATATAGAAAAGAATAAAAATGAATATATATATGTGTGTGTGTGTGTATATGTGTGTGTATGTATATATGTGTATGTATGTGTGTATATGTGTGTGTGTGTGTATATATATGTAATTTTTTTTGGAGACAATGTCTCACATAAATATGTATGTGTATGTATATGTGGATATATACGTGTGTGTGTGTATACGTGTGTGTGTGTATATATATATGTAATTTTTTTTGGAGAATATGTCTCACATATATATGTATGTGTATGTATATGTGTATGTATATATGTGTGTGTGTATATATATGCGTGTGTGTGCATATATATATATGTAATTTTTTTTGGAGACA